TTCCACATATTTTGATGCAGTAAAATCGTGTGAGGATTTAATGAATCAATCTCGACATATTGACAATGTTATGATGAACCAAAGTGCTAAACAAATACTTAAGAATTTCTTGAGGCTGAAAACATCGATCGATTGTGTCCGGTGGCTTGCATATCAATCATGCCATTCCCGGGGACATGATGAAGGGCCAAAATCAACGAATCCGGGAAATTTTATCGAAATGGTGAAACTTTCAGCAAAGTATAATAATGCCGAAGTATCGAAATGGTGAAACTTTTGGCAAAGTATCTGAAACAGTTTTGGAGAAAGCTCCTCATAATGCCAAATGCACGTCTGGCAAGATTCAAAAGGAGATATTGCATATCATTGCAACAAAAGTGAACCAAAATTCGTGAAGATATTGGTGATTCAAAATTTTGTATTCTTGTTGACGAAGCACGGGATGAATACATAAAAAGAGCAAATGGCTCTTGTTTTGAGGTTTGTCAACAAAGTTGGCGTTCTTCAAGAACGTTTCTTTTTAAATTGTACGTGTGAAAGACACTACTGCATTGACTCTTAAGTGTGAGCTATCTACTATTGTTTCTAATCATGCATTAAGTGTGGACAATCTTCGAGGTCAAAGTTATGACGGGGCAAGAACATGCGTGGTAAATGGAATGGGTTACAAGCATTATTCTGAAGGATTGTCCATATGAATACTATGTGCATTGTCTAGCTCATCGACTTCAATTGGCTCTAGTTACAGCATCCAATGAAGTGATTCTTGGGCATCGATTTTTCACGAAGTTGGATTCTATTGTCAATATTGTAAGCGAAATGGTGAGTTAATTACTACACAACGGGCTGAAATTTTTCGTCTGATATCGATTAGTGAGCTTGAGACTGATAAAGGAGCTAACCATATTGGTACTTTACAACGGGTAGGTAATACTCCATGGGTTTCTTACTTTTATTTAATATGTAGCTTATTAAAAATGTTTAATACTACTGGTATTGTGCTTCAAGGTATTATAGTTGATGGCGCCAATTTTTCTCAACGTGGTGATGCCGATTCTGCTTATTCTACCATGCATCTTTTCAGTTTGTCTTATTCTGATTTTGATGAAAGAAATTATAGGAACTAATAATGATGTTCTTTGTAAACTTTACATCAAAAGTCTCAAGATATATGCAGAAATTAAGAGATTATGGACGGGATGGTTTTCCGAGTGGTATTACATCATTTTGTGAAGGCAAGGATATTGAGATGTCTGATATGAATGGTGCTTACAAAGTAGGCCGAGGAAAGTCGATTCATCAACCTCGAGATATTAATATTACTATTGAGCATCATTTTCATTTTGATATCTTCAATACCACAATAGACACTCATTTGAAAGAGTTGAATAGCAGATTTTGTGATCAAACAGTGGAACTCTTGACTCTTAGCCTCGCTTTAGATCCTAGTAATTCATATAAGTCATTTAATGTTGATGATACTTGCACTTTTGTTGAAAAATATTATCCTGGGGATTTCACTGAACGAGTGACACGCGTAAAACCTACGTATGAAAAACCGCAAGTGTACAGTATCGCGTTTTGTAGAATAGTGAATTCCAGATATTGATCCACAGGGAATTAAGTTCCTAAAAATCAACCAAGTACCGTAATTATACTATACTAAAATTTATCTAGACGGTCAAGAATGGAGGATGAAATGAAGGTAAAAAGAACAAAAACATAAAAACACCGATCCGCCAGGACAAGCGAGGAATTCCGACTTGTGATGGCTTCTAGGGTAAAATCCATCAGTGTACTATCGATAAGGATCTACAAATCCGAATATAATGTCAATTCTATTTTAATTGATTTATTTACATATTTTTTGAAATTTATTTTGCGAAAACCCTGTGATATTTCTGTATTTTCACGTGTGGTCAACGTTTAAATTGGTCAACGTGTAAATTGCAAACAGGGCGAGTATGTTATTAAAAATGTTAATTGGGGGAGTTTAGTGTTTTATTGTAACACAGGGGTTTTTGAGCCGTTCGAGATTTCACAGGAATACTATTCATGTATTTCATTCATAAAAAAACTTGAAGTTATAAATACAAAGTATGTGCATTGAGAATATATGTAAATTCTCAATGTGCATATTGGTGTGTGTGTGTCTATATATATGACTATAGAACTTGTAGTATACTATAGTTATTTGTGATGTGTATCATAATCTTCATCCGATGAGCTCATTTGTGTTCGTATATCACTTCAACAAAAATAATTTTATGCCAAATTAGCTTCTGTTGTTAACAAGAGTGATTTTGTCTAGAGAGAGAAAAAAAAATATGAACTGCAAAAAGCAATTTTGGAACTCCAAAGAGGTAAGTCGCTTTTCATATTAGGTGTATATCAAATGAACCCTCAAATAAAACATTGTTTTTTCACAAAAACTGAAGAAAAAAAATCGAAAAAAATCATTTTTTTAACATCAAAATTAAAAAAAGGAAAATTATAAGAAAAAAACTAATATAAAATAAAAATAGAAAATAAAAATAAAAAATATTAAAAATATTTTAAAAAACAAAGAAATCCAAAGAACATCAGGTGGGGTAATTTAAGTAATCAAATCTAATGAATTTAATTGAGGTATTCTGGGTAATTTGCGTTAATTGAATTTATGTTAAAAATCGAATTAAAAATTGAATTTATCACCATGGGGAAATTCATTGAGTGTTTTGTAAAATAACCTCTATTTTTTTTTTTTTTTAGGGCAAATGGCAAATAGGCTCATGACAAGGGCACTTAATTAAAAGAGGGACATCCAACTTTTTTGTTTTTCAAATAAATCCAGTTCATTCAAACTTATTTGCAAACAAGAAAAATCCCTTTATATATACCAAAATTACCCCCAATTTATTGAAACCCAATTCAACTCCAATTTCGTGATTTACACCCCAATTTAGCCCAATTTCATCAATTAACCAATTTTAACCATAATTTTAATTTTGACCCCAATTTTGACCCGCCACCACCGGAGACCGCCGGCCGCCGCCGTTGGTCTCCGGCGTTGACTTTTTTTTTTTTTTTTGAAATTTTTTTTCTCCCAGAAATTTTTTTCCGGCCGGTCAACTGCCGTTAACCGCCGGGTCTCCGGCGTTGACTTTTTTTTTTACAATTATGTTTTTTCTTAAAAAAAATATTTTAATTAATATTACTGTCTTGGCTGCTAAATTACTGTCTCCGGCAGTTATTTAACTGTCGGAGACAGTAATTTAACTAGTAATTGACTTTTCTTTTTCTTCAAAAATATTTTAATTAATATTACTGTATTCGTTGCTAAATTACTGTCTCCAGCAGTTATTTAACTGTCGGAGACAGTAATTTAACTGTTAATTGACTTTTTTATTCGTAAAAAAAATATTTTTAATTAATATTACTGTATTCGTTGCTAAATTATTGTCTCCAGCAGTTATTTAACTGTCGGAGACAGTAATTTAACTGTTAATTGACTTTTTTATTCTTAAAAAAATATTTTTAATTGATATTACTGTATTCGTTGCTAAATTACTGTGTCCAGCAGTTATTTAACTGTCGGAGACAGAAATTTAACTGTTAATTGACTTTTTTTTTATTTCTTAAAAAATATTATTTTAATTAATATTACTGCCTTGGCTGTTAAATTACTGTCTCCAACATTAATTTAACTGTCTTAGACCATAATATTAACAATATTACTGTTCGGGAAAATAATATTCATAATATTACTGTCCGAAACAGTAATATTACTGTTTGAGACACTAATATTAATTAAAATATTTTTTTTCTAAGAAAAAAAATCAAAAAGAAAAAGTCAACGCCAGTCAACGCCGGAATCTGACCGGAAAAAAAAACATTTCAGAAAAAAAATTATTTTCTGGAAAAAAAAAATTTGGGGGGTTAATGTGATATATTTGTTTAAATCCGGGGTCAATGTGTAATATTAAGGAAGTTAGAGCATAATAGGTGGAATTGATAAGAATTATATTATGGAGGGTATTTTAGTCTAAAGACATGGGGATGAGTTCAATTGAGAGACTGTTTTTTTTTTTTGACCAAAATGCATTTAAGTCCCATGTGATGGGCATTTTTGCCATTCGCCCTTTTTTTTATGTAAAGATTATGAGGTGGTCAACAAACATAGTTGGTAATGGTATGAATTCGGAGTAGGGGTGAAAGTCGGATGGATCGGATCGGAATTAGCCTTTTCGAAAAATTTCCAAAAAAAATTTGGAAGTATAAAATCAATTTCAATTCCAATTCCAAAATTTTCGGAATCTAAAAAGTCATTCCATTTCCAAAAGGCCTGGAAATTTCGGAATTTCGGAAAAAAATCGGAAAGCACATAAGCTTTAAAATTTCAAAACTTATTCGAAATTTTCTAAAATGTTCATAATTTTTCGAAAATAAGAGCATCCACGTGGATAAAAGTAAAACTAATAACTACTAAATTTCAGTTCAAAAACATAAATAAAAATAAACACAGCATAATATCCAATAAAACTTCTAACAACAATTCATTATGTCAAAATCCTAAAACAAAACTTATAGGTGTATTTTTCGGAAAATAAGTATGATAAAATATATACTATTTATAGGTGTATTTTTCGGAAAAAAATCGAAATTATTCGGAATTAATTTCGGAATTAAATCGGATCGGAAATTGGAAATTCCAAATTTATTTTATATAATTCCAATTCCAATCCAAAAAAATCGGAAAAAAAAAGTTGTTCTAAAATCGGAACTTTTCGGATCGGAACCAGCGGAAATTAGAAAGTCGGTTTCAACTCTCACCCCTAATTCTGAGCATTGAGCAAATAATTAAATAATTATAAAAATACATTTGGAATTCAGTTTAAATAAGTTGAATGAGTCTGACAATAAAAAGCCCAACGGACTTGTATTTTGAGTGCTGAGTCAGTCACATAACAATATGGGTCGGGCCGTGGTTAGAGGCCTTTTAAACTGGGTAAGAGCAAGTCACAGAATGGCGCGAAATGTTCCCGCCAAAATCGAAGTGCCCTAAATGCAGTTGAGCGTTCCTTCTCCGGCACAAGGCGCTCTCTCTCTCTCTCTCTCTCTCTTCATCACACAAACCACAACACAGTCCTCGAGATCAAGGATTCCGTGAGTGACAATGGCGAGGGACGACGACGATTCATCCAGGGGCGACGGTGATGGCGTAAATCCGAACCCTCCGTCCACTCCAGATTCTCCCACGTCGGTAGGTTTCAACACCGACCAGCTTCCGCTGAACACCAGCCAGAATTACACCGATGACGAAGATGAAGCCTCTGTAGATCCTGAAATTATAAGAGACGATAATATTGAAGATGAAGAAGAAGAAGACGGAGAGGACCTCTTCAACGACAATTTCATGGAGTCAGTATTTCTCTTTGATTCGCTGCCCTACCCTTCAATGATTTTATCTTTTATTTTATATATATTTTTTAAATAAAATTAAAAATTGACGGATATATTTGATTTTAGTGATTATCGGAGGATGGGTGAGCAGGACCAGTACGAAAGAGTAGGGCTTGACGATTCCGCAGAGGATGAAAGAGATTTGGATCAGATAATGGCCGACCGCCGAGCCGCCGAGGTTGAACTTGATGCCCGAGAAGGCCGCGTTTCTCAGCGCAAGCTTCCCCAACTTCTTCATGACCAAGGTTTGCACTTTTTTTTTTTGGCTGTTTCCATTTTGTTGTAGATAATTTAAATTTGTCTGCTCAGAATCTCTTAGGAGTAACCATAAACCAAACAAGCTGACATTTGTTTGTAAGCAAGAGTGACGAATTAGATTTCGTGTGTTAATTGCATGAATCTTTGTGAATTGTTTATGTACTGAGGACCAATGACCGATAAGTCTTGCTTTGAATTGATACAGTATTGTCACAATAAAGTGTGTGTAATTGTCAACATTATTTTACATATATGTTGGGATATTAAATTTCGTGAGTTGGTGATGTCTGAATCATGCTGTGGATTGACTAAGTTGAATCTTGAATTATCTAACTGCAGACACTGATGACGATAACTACAGACCGTCGAAAAGAACGAGAGCTGACTTTAGACCACCAAACACTCCAAGAAGTACAGATGATACAGACGGAATTCCGAGTTCGCCAGGTAGATCACAACGCGGGAACTCTAGGGATGATGTGCCCATGACTGATCAAACAGATGACGACCCTTACGATGTATGCATTTGCCTTAAACCTCATATCTTATTTAACTTGTTGTGAATGCTGCTTACTTAGCTGTGTTGATTAATTTCATAATCGGTTTAAAACGAAACTTGAATTACTTACTGTAGGATGATGAGAACGATGAAGGTGAGTTTGAGATGTACAGGGTTCAAGGTACCCTAAGAGAGTGGGTTACTAGAGATGAAGTTAGGCGTTTCATTGGCAAGAAATTCAAGGACTTCTTGCTCACGTATGTGAATCCGAAGAGTGAGAATGGAGACTTCGAGTATTTAAGGCAGATCAGTGAAATGGTTTCAGGTCAGAAGCTTCCTCTCTGTAATTTGTGTGTGAATTTTAGTAGGCCAGCGATCTCTATTATAAAAGTTCAACCTTTAACAAACTAATTCATTTCTTCGTGCAGTCAACAAGTGTAGCCTTGAGATTGATTACAAACAGTTCATCTATATCCATCCCAACATTGCAATCTGGCTTGCAGATGCTCCTCAGTCAGTCCTTGAGGTTATGGAAGATGTCGCTAATAAGATTGTTTTCCAGTTGCATCCGAATTACAATAAAATCAGTCAAAAAATATATGTGCGCATCACCAACCTCCCAGTGTATGATCAGATACGCAACATAAGGTAAATACATTGGAGCCCAACAATGACTGCTCTGAGGAATTCTGTGTAGGTTTTGTGATTTCTGTAAAAAGAATTTGCGTTTTGTGATGTGCAGGCAGATACATTTGAACACTATGATTCGCATTGGTGGAGTTGTGACTCGTCGTTCTGGAGTTTTTCCCCAGTTGCAGCAAGTTAAATATGACTGTAACAAATGTGGGGCAATTTTAGGGCCATTTTTCCAAAATTCATATTCAGAGGTGAAGGTTGGTTCTTGTCCAGAGTGTCAATCAAAAGGACCGTTTACTGTTAACGTTGAACAGGTGATACTCTCATTCAACTTCTTCACATTAAATTCACCTAAAATTGTGTTAGTTAAATGTTTTATTTTTCTTCTTCAGACTGTGTATAGGAATTACCAAAAATTAACTCTCCAAGAAAGCCCTGGAATTGTTCCGGCTGGTCGACTTCCAAGATACAAGGAAGTGATACTGTTGAATGATCTCATCGATTGTGCCCGACCTGGAGAAGAGATTGTAAATCCTTAAACCTTACCTCTTATTAGCATTACAGGATGACCTTAAGTGAGTATCTCGACTAATGTGACATGTTTCTTTTCAAAATGTAGGAGGTGACTGGCATATATACCAACAATTTCGACTTGTCGTTGAATACAAAGAATGGATTTCCAGTATTCGCGACTGTGATTGAAGCGAATTACGTTACTAAGAAGCAGGATCTCTTTTCAGCCTACAAGCTTACGCAAGAGGACAAGGAAGAAATTGAGAAATTGGCTAAAGACCCAAGAATTGGAGAACGAGTAGGTCCACTATCAATTTATTTGGTTTCACTACGTGCTCGAATTGTTATAAATGTTTTTCCAACATATTTTCATTACCTTTTTTCGATTTGCTTTTCAAATAATTCAGATTGTCAAGTCAATAGCCCCATCGATCTACGGTCATGAGGACATAAAGACTGCAATAGCTCTTGCTATGTTCGGTGGCCAAGAGAAAAATGTCGAAGGGAAGCATCGTTTACGAGGGGATATAAATGTACTCCTGCTCGGTGATCCTGGAACTGCCAAGTCCCAGTTCCTCAAGTAAGAATATTTATGAATGCATTTCGACTGAAAGAATTAGGAGCTATAATATTAAACTCTTCATCACAATACTTATTTGGATAATTTAAGATTAGGATACAAATTGGTAAGTAACATTTTTAGGTTATTTTTCGATAATTTAGCGAACCATAAATCAACTAATTATAGTCATTTCTAATTTAAATGAATTTGACAGACTTTCTTTCGTGGAAGTCATAATCTAATTTTGTTATAACAAATTATTAGGTACGTGGAAAAGACTGGACAAAGGGCTGTTTACACTACGGGAAAAGGAGCTTCTGCTGTAGGACTGACAGCAGCGGTTCACAAAGATCCAGTCACAAGGGAGTGGACTTTAGAAGGAGGGGCTCTTGTTTTAGCCGATAGAGGCATATGTCTTATTGACGAGTTCGATAAAATGAATGATCAGGACAGGTTAAAAAAAAAAAGATTGAATAATTATGCATGCATTGCCGCGTACCTATTAAGCATATGTCTTAAACATATCTCTACAATTCAGGGTAAGCATTCACGAAGCAATGGAGCAGCAGAGTATTAGCATATCTAAAGCTGGCATAGTCACATCTCTCCAGGCTCGGTGTTCTGTTATTGCTGCAGCAAATCCTATTGGGGGAAGGTATATCGAATTCTAATGCATATTATTTTGAATCATAAACCTTCCTGTTTAAGTTTCTTTGTTTTTGCCTAAAAAATGATATTAATTTAATGGAGCATCGATTTAAATGGATTAAAGAGTTAGAGAGTTATCCACAACATGGGCATTCGGAGTTGAAGAAGATAGCTCACAATTACATGAAATCCTAAGAAATCATGTGTGGGTTAAGTATGAACATGTTTAAGTCTAGACCTTTTTGTCGTTGCTTTATGTGCTAACTTTCTTCCCTCTAATTTGGTTCCAAATGGATTATTGAAATCCAACATAGAACTTGTGATAATTTCCTAAAAGGCTATACAGAGAAACAAGCGATAAATGGATCATTATGCATAATCATTGTAGTGTTTTGCCAATTTTCTTGTTTTTATTTCTATACTATCAAGTATCTCAAAATAATTAATATCCATTTTATTTTGTGTGGAAGTGAAAGAGAGGGTTTTGATGGTTTAAGGATTGTTTTTCCTTTGCTTGCAGATATGATTCCTCAAAGACATTCTTGCAAAACGTGGAATTGACTGATCCAATTATTTCCCGTTTTGATATTCTCTGTGTTGTCAAGGTCTGCCTTTTTATTTGAATTTCATTTTAATCTAATGGCTTTCTTATATTATCATCTTATTATTCCAAGAGTTAAAAATGGAAAAATGATGCATTGTTGTATGCAGGATGTGGTTGACCCAGTAATTGATGAGATGCTTGCACAATTCGTAGTTGATAGTCACTCCAAGTCACAGGCGAAAGGTGGCAATTTTGATGATCGGAATTTGAACAACTCACAGGATGATGGACAAGCTTCAGCTAGACAAACAGATTCAGAGGTAGACAAACAGAATCTCTTTTTACCTTTGTCCTCATTTACCGACATTTTAAATGTGTTCTAGCAGGCTTCACTAATAATATACCTTTCTTTTGTTCTTGTGCAGATAATTCCCCAACAGCTGCTAAAGAAATACCTAACCTTTGCAAAGCTTAACGTATTCCCAAGGTTGCATGATGCAGATTTAGACAAGCTTACGCTAGTCTATGCTGAATTACGCAAAGAATCATCAGTAAGATTCAACTCAGAGATTTAAGTAAATATGCTAATGATGAATATGCAAACTAATCCAGTATGGATAATGTTTCTTGTTTTGTTATACTTTTGCAGCATGGACAAGGAATTCCTATTGCAGTGAGACACATAGAATCAATGATACGAATGTCCGAAGCCCATGCAAGAATGCACCTTAGGCAACATGTTACTCAAGAGGACGTAGACATGGCTATTCGGGTTCTGCTCGATTCATTCATCTCAACTCAGAAATTTGGTGTTCAGAAAGCTTTGCACAAGGTACTTGGACTTTATAGAAATAAATAAATCAGCCACTTTACTTGTTCATTCGTAAGCCCCTCTGATGAATTGAAATTGTTTTGCAGAGCTTCAAAAGATATATGATATTCAAAAAGGACTTCAACGCGATTGTTCTGCACTTACTGCGCGGCCTTGTGAAGGATTCTATGCACTTTGAAGATATTGTGTCTGGTTCTACTGCAAATCTTTCTTATGTTGATGTAAAAGTGGAAGAACTGCAAAGCAAGGTATAGTTTAAATCTTTCGAGAATTTTTCTTTGTTTCGACAAGTGAAAAAAGCTAACTGTGTTAATATAAATAAAATCGATGCAGGCACTTGATTACGGAATTAGTGATCTCAAAGCTTTCTTCAATAGCTCAGAGTTTTCTAGTGCCCACTTTGAGCTGGACGAGGCAAGAGGTATAATAAGGCATCGTCTTGCCCACTGATATGCATTTTAAGGACTCTGTTACTATGCGGGGATTGTTTGTACGGTATTATTTGTAACGAAGGTCTTGTCTAAGTCTAAATCTAAATTTAGTGATGCTTCATCTTAAATCTTGTTATCTTTCACGTATATTTATTACGCGAGGATTGTTTAGTACGAAATTATTTACAAGGAAGATGTCTACGAAATTTAATTAATGTTCATCTTATGTTTGATGATGTTACATTTCGTGTATATTAATTAATACTGAAAAATTAGCAATGACTGCTGCTGCTGCTCTCTCTCGACAAGTTATTGGTTTTCACTTTTAGCTTTTTAATGTAAAAGGATTTTGAACTAAAAAAAGCATTTGCTTCAATGTACGTACAATTGTTGTACTTGGAAATAGCAGCAGCTCTGGAAGAGAAGTTTGAAGACGACTAGCTATTGATTCTAAGTTAACTGCTTATTCAGATTCTGAATTTTCCAATATCAGTACTTAGTAGTGTCTTTTGATCACTTTTATCAAAGTAAATTGGGATAAACCATTTCTCTCTTGTTAAGAATACTAAGCACCAAATCATTTGATAAAATGCTTTCTGGATTTTATTTTTCCTTTGCACAAAATCTTCGTTTTCGTTGATAATTCATGTAAGTGTTAATTGTAGGAGTTTCGTGGAGAGAAAAAATAAAATGAAATGTGGAAATTTTGTATAAAAGAAAAGGGCGAATGGCAAATAGGCACATCACATGGGACTTAAATGTACATTGGTCCACAAAAAAAAAAAGCAGTCTTTCAAATAAATTCATCCTCATGTCTTTAGTCTAAAATACCCTCCATAATATAATTCTTATCAATTTCATCCATTATGCTCTAACTTCCTTAATATTACACATTGACCTCGGATTTAAACAAATATATCACATTAACCCCCAAAATAATATTTTTTTGAAAAAAAAAAATTCTGAATTTTTTTTTTCCGGCCAGATTACGGCGTTGACTTTTTTTTCTTTCTTTTTTCGATTTTTTTTCTTAGAAAAAAATATTGTAATTAATATTACTGTCTTGGCTACTAAATTACTGTCTCAGACAGTAATATTATGAATATTATTTTTCCCAAACAGTAATATTATTAATATTACTGTCTGAGACAGTTAAATTACTGTTGGAGACAGTAATTTCGTAGCCAAGACAGTAATATTCATTAAAATATTTTTTTAAGAAAAAAAAAAAAAAAGTCAGCGCCGAAGACCCGGCGGTCAACGCCGGAGACCGGCGCTCTCCGATGGTGGTGGGTCAAAATTGGGGTCAAAATTGAAATTATGGTTAAAATTGGTTAATTGATGAAATTGGGCTAAATTGGGGTGTAAATCATGAAATTGGAGTTGAATTGGGTTTCAATGAATTGGGGGTAATTTTGGTATATATAAAAGGATTTTCCTATTTGCAAATAAGTTTGAATGGGCTGGATTTATTTGAAAGACAAAAAAGTTGGATGTCCCTCTTTTAATTAAGTGTCATTGTCATGGGCATATTTGTCATTTGCCCACAAGAAAATCAGCCTAGATTTTTGTACATGTTATCACCACGAGGAAGATTTCAAACAAGATGAATATTCATTTAAACAAATTTAAATGGACAGTGGCGAAGACAGGATTTCATCATTGGGGGACCGAACATGTATTAAAAGATAATGTAAAAAAAGTGATGAAAACAATTATTGTTCCAACACTGATGAATCTAAGATGTTGCTTCGTAGTGGGTTTAATTTTTGGGGAGTTCGGGGGTTGCGCCCTCGAATAAAAAATTGATTTTTTTTTTTTACAAAATCAGAAGATAGGAAAAGATTTTTTTTTTTTTTTTTTTGCATTTATTTGGATTTTAGGTGCACTTAACAATGGAAATTTGGTGGACTTAATAGCATATAAAGGCGTAATACAGTCGAAGTTTTTACAATTGAGGATGGCTTGAGTCCATCACTTCCCAATGGTGGATTCGCCCCTGGTTCCAAGTTGCAATTCGTAACTTTCTTATCCTACTTGTTAGATCCATTCATTCTAGAAGAACAATGCAAAGCAAAAAAAACTATACAATACATACATAGTAGTAAAAAAAATTAAAATTTTAGAGGGGGCCATGGCATGGCATATGTGGCCCTACACTAACTTCCCCACTGTCTGGTGGATAGGATCATAGGAATTTTTTTGGAAAAAGGTAAAAAAGACATGTGAGTTTATGCAATAAAATGAAAATGCCAAGGTTCAATTTTGATAATACAATACAAGCTAAGGGGATTTTATGATATAAAGTATCTACCTGGTCCCAAGCTATTGAAACTTATATACACTATAAGAAATCTCATATTTGACAACGAAATATTCTGTTCTTGAAAGGATAAAATTTCGTTGCCAATACAATTCGCAACGAATATTTTTTGTTGCCATGCCGTTGCCAAATCCTTGTCACAAAAAGTTCATGGCAACGAAAAACCAAATATCGTTGTGGATACATTACTATCGCCAACAAATATTTCGTCACCGTCCAGAACAAATTTGTTCCATTGCCAACTATAATTTGTTGTCAATACATTTATTATACACAATAAATTTATTTCGTTGCCAATGTATTTAGTATACACAATGAATTGAAATAAATTTATTTCGTCGTCAGCGCATTTAGTATACGCAACTAATTTATTTCATTGCAAAAGATATATGCAATACCAACACAACGTAACCTTTGGACTACCGGCCCGCATCCACCGACCCGATCTTTGGACCGCCGATCCACTTTATAATTGAAACTGACCCTGGTTGATTTGAAGTTAGAAACCCTTCAAACCGCCGGGGCCATACTACATTTGTGTAAACTAACTAAAAATAAATTTATAAAAACTAAATAGACAAGGTAAAATGATTAAATAGTTATATAAATAAATAATATGTCATAACAAAAACTATATGTATATTTTATAGTAAAAAAAAATAATTTACAATAAAATTCAATTATAAATATAACATCTATCATTAATCATCCACTATTAATAAATGTATATATATAGTAAATTTTAAAATCATATAAATAATTGACTTAACAAAAAATCTTGAGTTACTGCTACTGCTAGTTAATATAAATAAATAATATTTTTCTGATCACTATATATATACGGGTAAAATTCATTTTAGTCCATGAGCTTGGAAGTTAAAATCAAATTCATTCCTGTGATTTTTATTTTGTTTAATGTCATCCCTAAAACATAATTTCATCGCCAAAATCAATCATTTTTCACAAAATGCCAGCATCACCCTTTGCAAAACTTGGGGAACTAAAATCAAATTCAGCCATAATTCCCATTTTTATTTTATTTTTTTTTTATTGAAAACTTCAAATTAAAATTATATTTAATAACATTTTCAAGACCTTAAAAAATATTTTCTCTCATTAATCCAAATAATATAAAAAATACACACAAATATGATTTTAAATTTCAAATTCTTGTTGCAAATTATTTTTTCCAACATAAATTAATTTCTAAAGTACAAGTTATTTTCTTAAAATGCAAATAAAATATATTATTTAAATATTATTCTACTAAAGGATTTTTCCAGAATTAAATAAAACCATTTTTTGGTTAAGGGTATTGGTCCCGTTAGATTTTTACTTGAAAAAGTTATATTCTGACCATCACTGAAAATTAAAAAAAATCATCCAATTTTTAAAGGTACTGAGTACATCATTGATATGCGGATTTTCCGATAATTCAAAAAAATTAATCATATACCAAGTCTAATAAATGTTGTTTGAGAAAATAAAACTAATGCATAGTACAATTTTACACGTCGAAACTCCTTTCCCGGTGTAATAATTTTCAGTGGAAGCAAAAACAAAACAAAAAATAATTGTCGATTTCCAACAAAAAATATGAACAACAAATTTGACATGAAAAAAAAGTTGGTTTTTAAATTGACAACAATGATATTTTGTTGACAAATAAAAACACTTGGAGCATTTACAACAAAAGATTTCGTTGTATTTCGTCACTTATTGGCAACAAAGTAAATTTGTTGCCTTTGTAAATGTATTTACTACAATTTTGTAGCGTAGCAAAAAGAAATATTTTTTTGCAACAAATAAAGTTGTTGTCTTACATTAAGGTCGTTGCGAAATATATATGATATTATTCACAACAATATTTTTCGTAGCCTATGGGATTCAAAGGCAACAAAAATATCTTGTTACAAAAACGTTATTATTTAGCCACAAATACTATATTTCGTTGTTAAAATATAACTATGGGCAATGAAATTAATTTCATCGATAAAAAAACCGTTGCCTATTTTGCATTTTCTTGAGGCGAATTATACCAAAATCCAATCTGGAGCTAATAATTGGATATATTTTATTATAATAATAGCATGCAATAATAATCATACAAGTATATACATCCTTGATTTTCCACAACACATAAATTTCCATCCATCTTCACCAATAAAATCTCAGGAAAATTCTTCAAGAAATAATTCTATAGCATTTTTTTTAATAATATAAATATGATAAGTCTGTAGCTACATATCAACACTCGTAACTCTTCATAATCAAATCAACGTAACGTACGGAAAGAAGGTTGAATGCTTTTTTAACACCATATATATACGCAGCCGCCGACTAATAAGAAAAACAAAATAAAATAAAAAGATAATTGTTGTACGGATATGAAAATTGAAATTAGCATTGGAAAATAAATAATTAATAATTTAATATACTTGTTACTAGTAGTATTTTATAGTCAAATGAGGGTGGTCAAAACACAAACCTAATTATAGAAGAAGAAGAAGAACCAAAATGGGTGTGTCTGTGTTGGCTGGCACTGTAACGCACGTGCGAAGATTTATTTTTAAAAATGGCGGGCGGGGTGGAATTAAGAAGAGTATTTGAATGAAATGAATATAGCTAATAATTAATCAATCTCTGACCCCATTTGACTCCTTTTTTGTCCTTTGTTCTATTATGAATTATCTATTTCCTCCCCCACCACTCACCACACATCCGATACATCTCCTTTTTAAATTTGCTTCTCTATTGCCAAATGCCGGCTCAGCTCCCTTCCCTTCAATTTATTTTTTCCATTGTTTTATTTTTCCCTTCCATAATTGACAATTATAGTTTCTTTCCTGATTTTTTTTACATATATTGGACCTATTTTTCTCATATCAGTGTTTGCAAGATCGTTCCCGAAATATTGGGGACTTATGCGAGTTTTAAGAATTTATGAAAATTGAGCCATATTTTCGTATCGTATAATAATGTACATATTAATTTATTCTAACAAGCACCGACTGAATAGTTATTTTTTGATTAGCACAGTATGTAGAATTTTAGAGAAAACATGACTAAAATTTGTAGAAGAATTGAGTATATAATAAATTATGATTGAGCAAAGACATTTCATTCACATCAAATGCAAGAGTTCAAATGCAAGAGTAAGTGTAAAAATTTCAAACAAATACTTAAACTATGTAAACTAATGTAGTTATTGTTATTCAAAATTTTGAATTATTTATATATTTTAAATATCATTTAATGCTAGGGTAAATTACAAACACCCCCCTGAGGTATGTTCAAATTACAAAAACACCCCTCTTGTTTGGATAATTACAACCACCCCCTCAACTCATCAAATTTAGTGGAATCTTCGAGATTATATGGAATATTATCACTTTTGTACCCGTTTTATCCCATTCAAACTCTACATTATGAAGGAAGATGATCATAATGTGTGATTTTTAGCTTGTATATATCAGTTTGTGGTGCATCGGAAACTGTATTTTTTACACAAAAATAGTACAAACTAGAGCACATTTCACGGAATCTAGATGACTATGTTGAATTTGGCACCATAAAGGTGGAGGTCTAAGAAAAAATCATAGTTGAGGGGGTAGATGTAATTATCCAAACAAGAGGGGGGGTTTTGTAATTTGACCATTCCTCAGGGGGTATTTGTAATTTACCCTTTAATGCTATAACTCGTATATATAAATGATACAAATTATTATTTTTTTCAAAAATCGGGGGCCCAAGAAGACCGCCTCTCTCGCCTATAGTCAGAACCGGCCCTGAATGTTTCTAGCTACCACTAGGTCTTGTTAATTGAGTTTTATTGGTGGTTTAAACCGATAACTAATTGTCATTCTCAACTTTGTTCAAACGTTGAGTTCCAATTATATGTAACTACACTTGAAAAAAAACTAAAATTGATAAAAAAAAAAAAAAAAAAAAAAGACTCAAAATACATGAATATATAATTATATATACATACAAATTACTCCAATCCACGGTGTTCAATTTGATCTATTAATCTGTTAATCACCATCGATTGAATTGATAAGCGTTCCCTATAACATATACAATCAGACTCTACATACACATGAATTGACAACACACTAATACTTATATAATTATAATCATACAAATAATAATACCGAATTATTATTATTATTATTATTATTATTATTATTATTATTATTATTATTATTATGATTATGATATTTCTTCTTCTCTGAAATAGTGTCGAGCTTAGGCTTCCAGTGGTGGCGCCGCCGGACAAGCAGATCGTAATCTTTCCGCAGCTGAGGGGTGGTGCATACTCCGATTACTTTTCCTTCTTCTAATTCTTTATTATTTTTCAAGATCATTTCATCGATGACCTTGATTCTTAGACCCCCACACGGACTCTTCTCCAACTCGAACGGCGGTCTCGTTCGCCCGGCCGCGAAAGCAGATCGGCACCGGACGAATGTAGCGAACGACAACGCTGACTGGAAGAAGTTTGCCGGAAGGAGGAAGTAGTTGTGCCCCGGCAGGAGGCGGTCGCGGTGGGAGAGGGCGGGTGTTTTCTGTCCGATGTAGAAGCTGTCGGATCGGCATACCATGTGCTTTGGGAACTCCTCCATTACCTCCCACGCTTTGATGGGTCGGTTGTAGATCTCTACGCCTCCGTCTGATTTTATCAGATTTATTGTGGAACCATGGCGGCCGCGGCGGCGGCTTCCCTTTTTGGCGTCGGCGTCATCCGGCGGGAGATGCACGCAGGAGATGCGGTGGATGCACCGCGGAAATGAAGCGGTCATCATCTGATTAATCTTGCTGCTCATTCCCATTTTATTATGTATGTATATATTTGGTAACTTTTGCTTCAAATCAATTATTCTATAGAGACTAGAGAGATACAACTATATTTATATGGATGACCAAAACACTAGGATTTTGAACAAGAGACTAATAACGTACAGCTGGACTATATTAATATAGATACATGAAAGAGTATGTATATATCAATGTTGGGTGGGGGTAAGGGTTGGGGGGGTGCGGAGGATGGAGTTGTTGACAGAGAAAAATATATATGGACCACGATTCATGTACGGAATATTTGTATTGACTATTGACTGCAAATCCTGCTATTTTCATTTTTATTTATTTTTATTTTGCGCTTTACTTTTCAAATTTTGTTGTTCGTTTGAAGACTGAAGTCGGTGAGGTTTTCCTTTTTGTTTTGTTTGTCAGTAAAAATAGGTGAAGCTTGCACCATTAACGATCAGCGGATTACGAATCAAACCGCGTACCGAATATGATCAGGGCCGGTCCTGCGGTTTTGAATGCCTGGACGAACACTACAAAATGTGTCCCTAATAAAATAAATTAACAAACAAGAGTACCCTATTATTCTTAAGGTAACCAATTTACCTACAAAAATAAAACAATAGTTAGATGAATCATAGAAGATGTCTTCGAGTTGCATATTTAGAAGTAAAACATCAATGATATCATCATATTGAATGTTTTTCAACATATCTTTTCCAATAGATAAAATTGCTACGCATTCGTTCTACTTTAGGTCATTGTGGTACGCAAATAGAATTTTAATAATTTTTATTTTGAAAAGCTTCTCTCATCAGATGCTATAGTTACGGGTATTGTCAACAATATTCTAAAAGCAAACATGACATGAAACATATCCATTTTTTTTACGATCTCTAATACTTAAATGGCTCTCCATGCTTATATCTATCATATGATTCACTTGGTAAAATCACTGGTAACACTTCTAGTTCTGAACATAAATATTTTACATCAATATCAGAAGCATCATCATGATTCAAAGCATTTTCAAGTTTCACACAAGCATTCATCAAATCACCATCATCCAATGAAATCATTTCGCAACATCAAATAAGAAACCAAATATAGATTCAAAGTGTTGCAATTGTTCAAACCTGCTCTTCAATTGACCTATAGCAGGATCTGCGATAAAAAAAAAAAAAAAAAAAAAAAAAAAAATCAATTCTTGAAGATTCTTAGCAGATTGATTTTCTCTTTCATTATTCGAAACCTCATCACAGTTTCTTTTTCTACAAATTTTACGTTTCTCTTGAAAAATAGGTTCAACTTCTAGTCCGTAAGCTATATTTTTTGCATTAAATTATCGCAGAAGTATTTTCTCTATATAATTCAAAAAATGAAAGAAGTTCGGCCAATTGTATTACAGTAATATCAAGACGCGTGAACTCGAATTGTAATTTTTTGATCACTAATTTATGTAAAAGATCATGCCAAATAACCAAACTTAAAATAAACTCAAAACTTGAAAGTTCATCAGTTGCTAAAGTTTCTGCATCTCTGCTTAATTTTGCATCCTCACTGATTTCTACCAACTTAAACAATGCTTCTCTAATTTTGGAGGCTTGAGTTTTTATTGCCTTTATAGATTCAATATGACTTTTCCATCTTGTTTTAGACAATGATTTCAATGTTAATTCATTAACATACTCAATTAAATATGTCATCTCTTTGCAGAATTAGCAAACACATCGTATTTACATTGACATGCTCCAAAAAATAATTTTGCTCTAACACAAGAATTTGCCATATAACAAACAACTAAATTGAGACAATGAGAACCACATGACATATAAAATGCTCTAGGATTAATATCAAACAATTGTTTTTGCACACCTTGATGTTTACCTTTCATATTAGAGCCATTATCATGGCCTTGACCCTTCACACCACCAATATTAAGTTCTAAAGATTGTAAGATAACTTGCAATTCATTGAAAATTCCTAAACCAATTGTAATTGAAAAATTTGACACGTCTACGCATCTTATTATAAGAGTCGTTTATTCTTTGTGACTTGCATTTCATGTACAACCAAGAATTACTGAAAAATATTTTGCCTCTTTAATTTTTTTAATTATTGCTTCTTTGACTTTTGAGGCTAAGCAACACATCAAATTATTTTGAATCTTATGACTAAGATAGTGATAATGAATCTTTTTTTCTCGAATTAGTCGAAAGTGTTCTTGCATTATAGGATCAAATTCCGCAATCATTCAAGTATTCCCAAAACATTGTCATTGCCATCTTCATAATTGTTTTTTCTATAGAGATGAGGGAAGAACAGAGAGTCAATTATCGCATACCGTATTCGAAAAAATGGTACCGCATTTATCAAGTTTTTTTTTTTTTTGAAGTATGAGGCGTAGGTGTTATATAACTGATGATGCTAGAGATAGATCACCTAGATTAATTGTGACAGGATGAGCTGGAAAAGCAAGGGAGTCACTGGCTCATGAGCTAGATGATCCTGAGATACATGCGATCAGAATACACGTAAGCTTGGGGGTTGATCCGGCAGAAACCCCTCCGACGCTCAAGTCAGTTGTGTGGATAGTAGAAATAGTTGAGAGAATACTAGCAGTATTAAGATGGGGTGGGGGGATTGGAAGTCCTGTTTTTTCTATGTGAGAGATCCTACGTTCGATGTTTCCCCTTCTGGAATCTTGTATGCAAGACTTTCAAGATAACGGAGAACATGGCGAAGCGGATCAAGGAGTCGAGGTTGTGTGATGTATAGTTCGATCCGAAGCTTCTGATTTCGGATGGTCAGCGGCATATATCCTTTAGTGTAGTTAATGTGATTTATTTATGCATGTATGCTTTAATTGATTTTTTGTTTATGCTATTTATCTCTATCATAGTAATGGTTGATTGTTTTGCGCAGGTGATCGCATTGACTTCGCAGCACTCCGTGTCAAGGTGAATGGATTTCAAAGCAGCCGAAGAAAGTTTCTGCAAATCAGGGGGACAGGTAGTAAGTCCCGGGAGGTGACTCGGGTCGAGACCCCTCACGCGAGTGTAGATGATCGTAGCCATGGTGGCGACCGGGAGGTGCGCGATCCCGTGGTTGGTAACGGGAAGGGCAAGATGGTTGATATTGAGTACGAGGCTGCACTGAAGCTCGCATGAGTAGATCCAAAAATGCTTTACGCGTTTCACGGTGGGGGAAGCAAGCAGTTGTTCACTTATGGAGTGAACCGAAATGAGAAGGAGTCCCTGTGGGAGGTGGCGGATCATAGCGTGGCGATGAAGAAGACAAAGAGTCTTATTGGAGAGTATGACTATGGCCGAATGCCCGCCAAGAGTCCCCCTCATATGCTTGCTTTGGCTGGTGGAGACATGTGTCGGGTAAGTGATTATTTTAATTGAATGTTCATTTCCATTCAATCATTGTGCCTGTATAATTATTTGTTGATATTTCAAAGTAGGCACGAGCTAGTTGGAGGTTCCTCATGGAAACAAAGGCGAGGGAGGGGGATAAGCTCTCTCGTTGTGAGGCGAAGGAGGAGGAACTACGTGCTCAGTTGGAGACGGTTCAGTTAGAGCTCACTCAGAAGGCGGATGATCTCGAGGTCAGTGGACGTGAGGTTGAGGAGCTCAACAAGTGCTATGACTTGCTAAAGAAGAAGTATGAGGCGGAGAAGGAGATAAGAAAAAGGTTTCTTGCCACGTTTGGAGGGGCTGCCTACAAAAAGGTAGTCGCGAAGAAGGCGGAGCGCCGCTTCTTAGAGAGCGAGGCCTGTCGAGCTATGATCGAGGAGAAGGCGCTAGCGGCGGTCTATACGCCTTTAGTGAGGGCTTGTCGTCGATACCTTCGTGAGGTAGGCGAGATCGATGACAGCATCATTCGAGGAATGGAGTCGGGCATTCCCGATTAGGGAGAGGAGGTGGAGGAGGTCGATGAGACGGGCACCGAGATCGCGGATGATGTTGATGACCCCACCACACGAGCGTCTACTGCTCGTGATAGGGATGTCTAGAGTAGTATAGTTTAGCTTGGTAGGATAGTTGCCCCCAACGCGGGGGAAGACTTAGTTTATTTATGCTTGAGGTAGATGTATATGCCCACTACTATTTAGTTTGATTTCCGTTTGCCTTTGGAAAATTAATCTTTATATTTGAGTTATTATTTATTGACATTGTTAGTGGTTTGATGTAGGGGTGGTTTCGGTACGGTTACCGAACATTTTGTTCAATACCGTGTACCTACCGTATCTTTCGGTATTGAAAAATTCTATACCGTTACCGTACCAAGAATTGCGGTATACCGTTATCCGGTATACCGTTAGTTTCGGTACGGTATGATCGGTACGTGGTAATCTACCGTACATCATTTTGTTGATGAACTCGGATGATACAATAATTAAGATAAATACTAATTAAATGCATAAATACAACAAATTAAGCAAATGAATATGGTAATCAAGCAATTTACATGAATATAATTATACGACTATGTTGCTTCAATTAACTAATGATTACTAAGATATATATAGAAAAATTGTAGAAACTAATGAGCAAAAAAGTTTCATGGTTTAAGTAAGATAAAAAAAAATTATGTTGTAATAATGCAAATGAAACAAAAGGGTGGGAACTTAGGGGGGAAAGAAAGGGAGAAGAAAATTATGGCAAAAAATATTCCACCAATAAGAGATTAGTTGGACTTTGAACTAAAGAAGTACGTGAAATAAACAACCTTAACGAGAACCAAATTAAATATTGAGTTTGCATAAATATATGAAAATAATAAAAAAAATAGAATTATGTATATATAATATATATATATGATGGATCATATATTTATTCTTGTTTTTTATTTTTATTTTATAATATTTGTTGATTATATTTTTTATATTTACAATATAAAGGGTAAAATATATTAACTAATTTTTAAAATACAAAGTTGCGGTACGGTACGGAATTACCATGGTATTGAAGATACAATACCGCTACCGTACCGTAAGATAATGGTACGGTACCGATACCGTACCAAATGTAGTGGTAACCGATAGTTCGGTATTTATTCGGTAATTGTTGGTAGGTATACCGTGGTAATCGGTATTTGGTAATTTTTGCCCAACCCTAGTTTGATGAGTTATTTGTATGTATTTTAATCAGGCTCGTGGCCCAATAGATGAATAAATCGTAGACCAATTGGACTGAGCCAATTAGGTATATCAATAGCGTGTAATACAATAGGATTATTATACTCTAGAATTAAATATTATAAATTTGTAGTCGATTTTCCCTCAATTAAAATCTAAATTTTTGTACTTGTATGAAAAAAATATTTTATAATTGCCCAGATATAGACTTACTTTAATTAAGGGGGTGCAATTGAAATTATGAGTAAACTAGTTGGGCTTACTGAGGTGTGATTTAGAAAGAAGCTGATTGGCTGCCGCACCAGATACACGTCATCGCAGTTCCAGAAGCACCGCAGTTATCCCCAAAAGGAAAAAGAGAGAGAAGAGAGAGAGAGCGGAACAATGGGAGGAGTGGGGAGGCGATGGGTGGCAGCGGCGGCGGTGGCGGCGTTGGCCGGAGTGGTTATTATGAGAAGCCAGGTGGGTTTGGATAAAGGGAGCAAGTCGGCGGTGATGCAGTGGTCGAGAGAAATGTCGGATCGTATGGGATATTGGGCAATCCCCATCTACGTCGGAGTACACACTCTCACACTGGCGCTTTGCCTCCCCTACGCCGTCTTCTTTGAGGCCGGTGCTTCTATGCTCTTCGGTTTCTTGCCTGCCCTTTTGTGCGTCTTCTCGGCCAAGGTCCTCGGTGCATCCCTCTCCTTTTGGATCGGCAGGTAGTGTACCCAACCTCTCTCTCTCTCTCTCTCTCTCTCTCTCTCTCTCTCTCTCTCTCTCCCTACTGGGTCTGATTTATTTATTTATTTATTTATTCATGGTGAAGGAAAATTGTAAATGATTAGTCTTTGAATTGATCAGCCATTCCTTTTTGGATCAATTAGCAGAATATTATCAACTGGCCTGCTAATTGACCATTTTTCTATATTATCCTCTCTTTTTGCAATACTTTTGTTGTCTTTTTATTTATAACGTGAGAGTGTGATTTTAAGATATGTTGCTGCTAGTTCTTGTACTATCTTTCTCAGCTCGATTTTATCTCGAAACAGATCAGTATTCACCACTTATGCTCTGTGGGTTAAATATAATTTGATGATCGACAAATAATTGTATTTCTTAACATGACAACATGCTCTGCTTGGACTAGTTGTGCCCTTAATTCAATAAGCATATTTCCCAAATGAATTTCTATATTTGGTTCTGTTGGAAGTGAATTGAAATTGGAGTTGGTTAGTATCACTAGCTTGTTCTTTTGGTTAAACTAGTTACTTTTCCTAAACTCGAGGTTAAGTTTTTATTGTGGGCTGAGTGCTACCAAGTTTACATTTTTTCTTTTCATTCTAAACTTCTTTTAGATCGATCTCGTGCTTCCAAAAATTGCACCAGTTTCTATTACTACCATCATAATTAATTCGGTCTGCATCAAATTGATTCAGTCTTTGTATCTATCATTTAGAAAAAATCACAAATGATAGGGTAGTTTCTTTGTATCTATCATTCTCTTACGTTTTCAGTCTTTGTAAGGAGATTTTATTTCTTCGGCTGTTTCAAATACACTATCGTTTTCTTTTCCCATATAATTTTCTCATAATTTCCTCTCTGTGTTTATCCATCTGGTCCAATTCTAAAGGTTCTTTGTAATAATACATTCGATTTCACTAATTTGATATCTGCAACATTTTGAAACATTGCATTGAGTTGTCCTCTCGGCTTATTAATCTTTATACATCTACGTGGTTTTATGTACAGGCTAGTGTTGAGAAGTTCAGGTACAGCAGTTGAATGGGTGCACAAGAATAAGTACTTTAACATGCTGTCAAGGGGAGTTGAAAGAGATGGGTGGAAGTTTGTTCTTCTGGCACGTTTTTCACCTGTACCATCGTATGTAATAAATTATGGATTGGCTGCTACAAATGTTGGGTTTGTCGTCGATTTCTTGCTTCCAACGGTCATTGGATGCATACCCATGATTTTGCAGAACACTTCAATCGGCAGCCTTGCAAGTGCTGCTGTATCATCGGCTTCGGCTTCGGATTCCAACAAGTCTCGTATTTCTTCATATGTGTTTCCACTTATTGGAATCTCATCCAGCATTCTTATCTCTTTGAGGATCAAAAAGTATTCCTCCGCCATCTCCATTTCTGATGATCAAAATGTTGACGCCGTCAACAAAAAATGAACACATTCTAATTTTACTTACTATTTACTTGTAGTGTATGCCCGATTTTTTGTTGTGTCGGTCTCTAATCTTTACGAACAAGTTATGGTAATTTGAGATTATTATTAAACTTTTTAATTTTAATTTTAATTTTATGGTGAGGTGACGTTATTAAGCAATTGGGTTACAGAAGACCAAACATGTCATGCTGTTTAATCTGGTAATAATACATTTTCTTTTTGATAAATGAAAGATAATCAGGAGGTTGATTTGGTAGACTTCATGAATTGAGGCTTCCAGTGAGAGGCAACATTTGAGCTAACCTTGGCAGATAATTCCTGAAAATTAATAGTAGGAGAATTATGAATAATAGCATTACGATATTTCCAAGTAAGATTAAACGTAACAGCAACAAAAATAATATTGTCCTTCGGGAGGCAATGGATCGGAACCATGAGAAATAGATGGTCCACGGATTCGAAAGAGCTATTACATTATAAAGGGCTTCAAGATACATCATCAACAGGGAAGAGAGAGTTGAGTTTATCTCTAGTTGGAAGAATATTATGGACAATGCGCCACATTAAAATTTTATGATCTTGGCATTCCATAAAAGGTTCCAATTGAAAGAGGAGAAATGAGAAAATTTAGAGAGAGAGAGAGAGAGAGAGAGAGAAACGGTGGGACTGGTGAGTTAAATAGGCACTTTTGATTTGGAGGGAATCCAGAAAAGCTTCTTTTAATTGGATACATGAAGAATTTGAATCTTGTTGATTTCAATAACAAGATGAGGAGGAAAAAGATGATTAAAATTCCAAGAGATAGTGATCATCAATCAAATCTTTGACAAGACAGATATAGGGATAGAGATCATGAGGAATGAGAAGGGGTTTAAAAGTAGGGAGAGAAGGAATCCAAGGATCAAGATTGATGCAAATATTAGAGTTTTTGGAGATATGATAGCAAGCACCTTTGACCAATAAGTTTTTTGGTTTTGAGAATGTCTCTCCGAATTCAAGAGGAATTATTCTAAGAGGGAGGGCAAAGCGCATTTTGACTGGACCATTCTGAAAACTTAGCAACAATATATTTGATGCAAAGGGCATCATCATGGGAAGCTCTATTGAAAATGAGAAGATCATCTGCATTAAGGAGATAGGAAATGGATGTAAATGACAAATAAGAAATGAGATAAGGCTTTATCAATCAATCCCTGTCTAATGCTTCAACAAGGCTTTATGAACCCAAATGGGGAACCATATATAAATCAGGAAAGAGAATGCACAAGTAGACACACATTGTTTTATCCACTCTATAAATTGAGAACACAATCCCATATTAGTAAGAATACAAAAGACAAGATTCCATTCTAATCCAATTGGTTAGTCCCTATTAGTCGTATATTTACTAATATATATTATAGATAAATATTGTATTATTGGCATGCACATCTTCTAGTTCCCCTTGTGTAAAGGGTTAGGGTTTTCACACATGTAATATATATATATATATATATATATATATATATATATATATATATATATATATATATATATATATATATATATATATATATATATATATATATATATATATATATATATATATATATATATATATATATATATATATATATATATATATATATGAGTTAACCACAAAAAAGCCCATGCCAGGGGCCCTTAATTAAAAGAGGGACATTCAATTTTTTTGTCTTTCAAATAAATCCAGCTCATTCAAATTTATTTGCAAAAAAATCCTTTTATATATACCAAAATTATCCCCAATTCATTGAAACTCAATTCAACTCTAATTTCATCATTTACCAATTAACCAATTTTAGCCCAATTTCATCAATTAACCAATTTTAACCCTAATTTCAATTTTGACCCCAATTTTAACCGGCCGCCGGTCTCCGGCGTTGATTTTTTTTGAAAAACTTTTTTTTTCACGGCCAACTGTCGTATACCGCCGGGTCTCCGGCGTTGATTTTTTTTTTTTTTCTTAACCAAAATATTTTAATTAATATTACTGTCTTGGCTGCTAAATTACTGTCTCCGACAGTTATTTAACTGTCGGAGACAATAATTTTACTGTTAATTGACTTTTTTTTTTCTTCAAAAATATTTTAATTAATATTACTGTATTCGTTGCTAAATTACTGTCTCCAGCAGTTATTTAACTGTCGGAGACAGTAATTTAACTGTTAATTGAATTTTTTATTCTTACAAAAATTATTTTTAATTAATATTACTGTATTCGTTGCTAAATTACTGTCTCCAGCAGTTATTTAACTTCTGGAGACAGTTATATAACTGTTAATTGATTTTCTTATTCTTAAAAAAAATATTTCTGAGACAATACACATATTTGAGAAATTACTTGCACGAAATATATATCACATAAACAAACAGTATAAAATGATTATAATAAATAATGTTAAATAGATTGTTAATTATGATATTCATAATTATTAAATAATTTTAATTAAATTATTAACAAATATAAACCAATTATTAAAAGAGAAATTACATCATAATATTTTGATTATACTAGTCATATATAATGTTATTTTGTAAAGTAAGAATATTAATTGAAATGAGATATAATCTATTTTTGTTAAAATAAACATCATTTATATTTTTAAATAATCATCTTATGATAAAATACTCAGTAATATTAATAAGTTCTTGTCAACAATTGAGGTTAATCGATTTAAATTATTTGAAATGAGTTATAATATATATTTTTAAATAAACATATTATTTTATTTTTCATTCGATTTTTTCACGCTATCGATTTTAATAACATAAGTGAATTTGTAATAAGTCAACGCATTTGTTTATATATTGAATTGATTCAATACTTTATATTTTTCAAATATTGATATAGTAATTAATAATAGATGTTTTGAAGTATTGAACCGTGATTTTATATATATTTTTTAAAAAGTTTCTTATATTGAATTTCGTTAATTATTTAATTAAAATTATTTAATAATAATTAATATGATAAACTTTTCAATTTCAAAATTAAAAAAAAAATCAAAATTCAATCTTTCTTTTAAATTAAATCATAATTATTTATATTTTTCAAAATTAAATATATATGCATTTGTTATTAGGGGAGATTTTTAATATTAATGATAATCAACATGACGATTAATAATTTATTAAACATTAGTTATAATTATTTTTAGTATTATTTATAGTTTTATACTTGTAGTTAAGATTAACGTTAAAATATTTAACTTTGCCCGAGTGGTTAGTACCCACTCGGGCAACCTGGGTTCGAACCCCAAACCCCTCTCCACCTTTCTTTCTTTTTCTCCCGGATTTTGTGTTAAAATGTCTTTCTTTTTCTCCCGATCCGGTTCAACCATGTATACACCCCTGTATATTTTTTGTGCCGATCCGGTTCAACCATGTATATACCCCTGTATATTTTTTGTGTTAAAAATGTTGTTCAAATACCTCTTTTTTCCCTGCCCAATTTCCCTCTTTCTTCCCTGCCCAATTTCCCTCTCCACCTTTCTTTCTTTTTCTCCCGATCCGGTTCAACCATGTATATACCCCTGTATCTATCGATTTCAGTTAGAGAGCTGTATCTATCGATTTCAGTTAGAGAGCTGTATCTATCGATTTCAGTTAGAGAGCGGGAATGTTCTTATAAATTCACACACTTGGAAATCACCACTTTCAATTTCAATTTTCTGATCTGCAGCGGTTACACACCCTTCTTCTTCGTCCCCACACACACACACACAGTATTTCGATTTTCGCACCTGCAGCGGTTACACACTCTTCTTCTTCGTCCCCCCACACACACAGTGCTTCTTCATCGACACACACACACACACGCACACAATTTGCACATATTATGTCAGAGTCATCTAGTGCTTCATCGCCTACGCCGCCTGCTTCGCCGCCGCCTGCTTCGCCGCCTCCTTCGCCACCGCCTGCTTCGCCGCCTCCTTCACCGCCTCCTTCGCCGCCTCCTTCGCCGCCGCCTGCTTCGCCGCCGCGAGAATTGCAGTGGCCTTTTCGCGAAGATAACGTCCGACACTTTAACGATGACTTCCTCCCTTCCGTCATTCTCCGTCATCCTGCGGGCTTCACCGCCGAGGTTAGTCTGATTTCAAAAGTTTCTCAGTTCTGGTTCGAACGGAACGCAATTGGATTTCTGCCGGTTTTAATTTGTTTTTTATATATATATATATATATATATACATATATATATATATATATATATATATATATATATATATATATATATATATATATATATATATATATATATATATATATATATATATATATATATATATATATATATATATATATATCTATATGTGTGTAGATTTGTTGTTTCTGAGCGAGAGGAATATCTTGGACGGACACTAATGGCGAAGAGTTGTTGTTTCTGAGCGAGAGGGTATTTTTTATACCTGGAACTTAATTACTCCCTAATTACAATTATTTACTATTTATATAATGTTGTGTGGATTTTTTATTATCAGTATGTATATATTTTCTTTAGTACTTTCAGCAATAAAAATTAACATATTTTAATTTCCAGGCGAATTACAGACTTCCAAACGGAATTCGAGGAGGCATCGCGATTTACGTAATTATTATATATATATATATATATATATATATATATATATATATATATATATATATATATATATATATATATATATATATATATATATATATAAATAAATATATATATTATATATATGCAATTTAGATCGTTTAAATGATTAACTACATGATCAGTATCACGAGAATGGAGATTTGGAGAAGCCTAGCATTGCTCGAACCTTACCTTGGAGAATCGAGGATCTGACGAATGAACCAAATCTCAGCCATACAGGACTCGAACTCAATGCAGCGGCGTTTGTTGATCTCGTTATTGACTCTAATCAAGAAGACATCCGAAACTGGCCTTATGGGTACTTATCAGTTACTGTTTAATTAATTTCCAAGTGTATCAACTAAATTACATTTCATGTTTTAAAAATTGCAGATTGGAGCTCCAGTTACGTGTTACTTTGGGATCCACCGGAAATTTGGATTTAACATGTCGTGTAATAAATCGCAGCGGGAAATGTATCTCGTTCAAATTTGCCTTTCACACCTGCTTATCTATCTTAAATATTAGGTAATCGATTTAATGTTTTTTTCTTTTATTATTATAAAATGAAATAAATTAATAATCCCATTTCCAGTGATACGGAGATTGAAGGATTAGAGGAAGTGGTGTATCTAGACCTTTTGCAGGACGGCAATCGATTTACTGAAGGGGATGAGCCTATCGTTATCGATGATAAAGTGTGTTTGTATAAAAATAAATTAATTCTTCTGATTTTTACCAATGATTATGAATTTATATGCTTGTTGACTTGACTGCGATTTTCGTTTTAGCTGCATAGGATGTATCTAGATACCGGCGAGCATATCTCTGTTAGGGACAATCAGGCTGGAAGAACTTTTACGATTAGTAAAAGTTCCGATGATCTACCTAATATTGGTAAGCAGACTTGATAGTGATTTCGTATTTCAATGCAACGTATTATTTAATAAAACTTCCGTTATAATTTTTTTTTTTTTTTTTTTTTTTTTTTTTTTTTGGAGTTGTGTATAATCCATGGCATGATGCAAGTAGATTAATTGATATGGGAGATGACGAGTATACGCACACAATTTCTATTGAGGCTGCTGCTAAGGAGACGGATGTTATTTTGAGGACGAATGACTCGTGGAAAGTGATTCTAACTCTCTCTGCCGGTGACTTACACTGAATTCGAATTGATGGGCATCTTATATCAAATATTAACTACAGTTTGTTAGTTTACTGAATACATTTTTTTTTTCTTTTTTTGCTATGTACTTTTCTGGATTGAAGAATAATACAATTTTACCACGTAAAAAAATCGCAAACAACATTCGAGTTTATCGAAAAAATGGCTAATTCCTTATATAGCTGAAGGGACTAAGGAGCCGTTAGAGAGGTCGGGACTTTGGATATCGAGAAAACTCGTTAGTAGTGTGTTTCTCGAAGACTGTCCTTTCGAACTCTCGATAGAATCTAACTTATCCGTTTCTTTCTCGATTTTGATCGCATCTTGTACGGCAAGTATAATCTCCTGCATTCTTGGCCTGGCGGTGCTGTGTTGCTCGACGCACTGGATCGATACTTCCGCTATTCTCCAAACCGATTCGACTTTCATTGTTCCGATTAACGTGGGGTCCGTTATGCTGATTACGTCTCCTTTCCGAATCAATGCCCTTGCCTATAAATCGAAAAAAATAAATGATTTTTAGAAAGAAAAAATTCGGATGGAAAAAAAAATATGCAGCAGAGTTTCGGCAACGAGCTTATACCCAATGAACAATGCTCCAATCGGAACCGTATTCCTCTGTCGAGCCAGGCTTTCGACCGGAGATAAGTTCGAGGAGAACAACTCAGAAACTGTACACGTCACTTTTTTCGGTCAACTGTTGGTTTGGGTAATACCTGTTTTGTTTAAGACACGACATTAGTTAGTTTCGACGTTTAAGACAACATAAATGCAAAGCCGCGATTTTTTTTTATTATTTTTGTTTAGCTTACTCTGGATCAAGATAGCCGACTGTCCCTCGTGCGACGCTCGATACGTGCGTTAGGTCTTCTTCAGCTTGTCTCGATAGTCCGAAATCCGATACCTTTGCCCTCATGTTTATATCGAGGAGACTGTTGCTCGTTTTCACGTCTCGGTTAATTATACTAGGGTTGCATCCGGTGTGCAAATACTCTAAACCTGTAACTTTTTCAAGATATTTATACGACATTTCTAAAAATATATTTTTTTTACGAAAAAAGAAAAAACAGTTTCCACCTTTAGCTGCATCTTCAGCAATTCAAAGACGTGCTAGCCAGTCTAAGTGCTTTTGATTATCGGAATCTGTCGAAGAAGAATTTTGAGTTAGTAGTTTATTATCATTTCTCAAAATATCGAAACTTTTTTTATTCAATTTTTTTATTGAAGGGGTGCAAACCATTTAGATGATCTCGTAAAGTTCCGTTATGCATGTACTCGTAGACAAGCATGCGTTGATGCTCTTCCTCGCAATATCCGATCAACGGAACCAAATTCCTGTGATGGATTCTCGACAGTAATGCCACCTGTAAGTGTTATAGTACCTCGTTAGTATTACGTAAGAAAATATTATCCGATAACAAAATATTTGTCTTGCAAGTGTTTGTTATATATATTATATGCATTCTTGAAATAAACATTTGACGAATTTCGTAACGGGGTCGAAAAAATAAGTAACCTCGGTAATCAATTGTTTGGTGCCGTGACTAGACGAATCAGCCATCGTTTTAACCGCCACCTCTTTTCCGTCCATTAATTTTCCGTAATATACCGGTCCGAAACTTCCTTTACCGATTTTCTTCGAGAAATTATTCGTAGCTTCTTCTAAGTCCGATAGAGGAATGTAGTATGCCACACCTTCGTCGCGCGCAATTGAGTAACCTGATAAAGGCCTGGTGTCGCACGCCACGAATTTCCTATTTTTTATTTTTTTTTCGCACGAGATAAAAATTTTGAATTTTACGAACGAAACTTGGAAATGATATATTTTATATTCGAGGTACAAAAATTAACCTTTCTCGTTTCTCCGTAGAGTTGTCCTCGACCTAGATCGACGAAGCAACAAAATGCTTAAAGTTGATAGGACAATATGTGTAGCCACTATGCCGATCGAAGCTCCAAGTATTACTCTGTTACGTTTTTTCGTTGCTTGTTTAAGATGCGGATTGCCTTCGTAGCTGCCAAAAAAGAGGGAAAAATAAAGTACGGCATTTTGTTATTTTCTGTAGTTTTTTTACATGGCAAAGTTTATTTTAATCGATTACATTCGAGAGTCTTCGAAACAAACCTGAAAGTTAAATTTCCTCTTAGCAACGGCGAAGGTATTTCACCGCTCAAAGAGTTGTTCTGTACGTACCTGCCGGAAATAACACCACGCAAACGCGGCTTCAATAAATACACCGGGACTTATAATTCAAGTTGATTTAAAAAAGAAAAGAAAAAGATTATCTAGATTGATACTTACAGTTCTTGCAAGTACGGCAGTTTACCGAGGTACGAAGGTAACGAACCAGTCAGTTGGTTATTCTCTAGATGCCTGCACACCACAAACGAAACGAGATTAATAAAAGAAACGGTGCGAAACTAGCTTACGTTAATTTTGGTTATTTTTTATTTTTTTTATGCTAGCTCGTATGTCTTATATATGTCGGGCGTTTCGAGTTTCAATCTTCTGACACGGATTTGTAGCCACCTATTCATGTATACTTTTTTTTTTGACATGATCACGACCAGATAAAACGAATTGATTGAAGAACTTACAGAATTTTCAAATTGACAAGGTCGCTCATATCGGGAATCGTCCCGATAAACGAGTTTCCATCTAGCCACCTATAATAAAAGTGAAGCAAAAAATCAGTAATGAATAATTGATTCAGAAATAAGATTTTAACTCGGAAATGAAATCACTCTTACAATTCCGTCAACCTGCCCATGCTATTAACCTCTCGCGGTATTTCGCCCGTTACTTTCTTACCTGACAAAAAACTGTTCAAACAAATCATCGTTGTAGCATGATGTAACCGTTATTATTGTGCAGGAAAATCGAGATAGAAAAAGACTTACATCTTGGTAATTCTCGGGGGTGACTGGCGCTACAAGTCAATCACTCCCAATTCGTCGGTAAACAAGGATCACCGCCTTCTTCCGCCCATTCACTTTGTTCAGACATAGCTAGCAGCGCATCGAGGCCACGCATGTCGGTACGTAATAACACACACACACACACACACACTTGATCAATTTAGGTAACTAAATAATATATATAGTTAAATTAAATCACGTTTATATATTATCCTACCGTCTTTTTCGTCGGTTTTAGCGGCAATCTCCACGTATCTACTAATCTCCATTGCATTCAACAACGGTCCTCGTGTGGAGTCTCGTGTTTTCTTGCACTCACACGTCAGAACGAAATCCAGCGAGACGTTCATGTAGCTAGGCTCGTACAACGTGTAGCTTCCGTTAGCGTTTTCTGCTATGTTCACTATCGCGTTGCTATAGTCCGGCATGTAAGGCAGCTCCATTTTGAATTTCCTAGTATTGTTCATTCTCAAATCCTCGATTTCCGCAAAGTAAACGTACGCTCGTGCGTTGGCCGGAAAATCCTCTAGATTCAGCCTGTAGCTTATGCTCCCTCCAGTTCCAATCACCGCTGTTTGCATCACTTTGACAGCCACTAAGAAATTCGCCCTTCGATCGAGATCCGATTCCCATATCCGATCGTAAGGGTCAGCAGGATACCTAATTTAAAAAAAAAAACGAACTTCATTCGATTTTTCGTGCATTGTCGAAATGGTTCTATATATATCTAGTCGGTTATTACTGAAATGACTACAATTTCTGTTTCTTGAATTTTTGCCAGAATCAGACTAGAAAATGGTCAAAATCACGTTCTGAGTCAAAGTCAAAACGGCATTGCTAAAATTGAAACGACATATAACACTTCAGTATCGAAATTAATAATCATATACAGTTATTACTGAACCGACTACAATCTCTGCATCTTGAATTTTGCCAGAATAAGACTAGAAAATGGTCAAAATCACGTCCTGAGTCAAAACAGTATTACTAAAATTGAAACGACATAGATTCAACGTGTCACGGGTAGACGAAAACTTAGAGGCACAAATTTATTTAAGAAAATTTCAGATGCAAAGAAGATATGCAATATTTTAACCATCGCATTTTGAAGCAACAATGCTAAGAAATAACACCCTGTACTGTTACAATTAAGGTGTACATTGAACAAACCTGCGAAGAACATTGGTAAAAAAAGGGGCCCACAATAATGACGAGTATTCGACTATACAAGAAAGCCTAAAGACGCCAGCACAATTGAAAAAAAAAACATTGACACTGATAAGCAAGAGGCAAAAAGTTTCCATCATAACAAAGAAATATGAGAACAAATGGAACTGGCATATAGACTCAAAATTTGATCGTAACCAAAAACGCCAAAGAAGTGTTGGCAAAAGAGAACGCATATAACCAAGAGGTACAAAAATTTCCATTAATAATGAACCACAACAAGCTCAGCGCACTTTACCCAAACCTTGCTGGCCAGCAAAATAAAGTTGGAAGACATACCTATAAAAGCCACAGAAGGTCGGAATCCATGAAACAGGAGTGTTCGTGTTTTCTTCACAGCATCGGTCTGAGTTTTACCAGCAGCTCATAACCTACAATTCGAATAATTAATTAAATAATTAGATCTTATAAAATGCAGTGGCTATACAAAATACCCTAAGGTAACTTCAAGATTTCCTCTATACCATAACGAAACCCCAAATTTACCCAAGAAAACAATTGCACCATACTGCAGTAGTCAAAATAAAAGAACAAAAGAACTTATGTTTGCAATCAATCATTTTTCGGGTTTTTTTCTTTTTTTTTTTGGCACAACTTACTTTATTCGATGGAACTCGGTAGCACTCTGTATTTACAGCACTGTCCCATCAATTTTCATTAAAAGGAGCTTACACAGTAATCCACGTTGAGAAAGGAAAGAGAAGCACTAATCCAATGAACGACCCAATCGTTTTCCATACAATAAAAACCCTTTTTATACAGGCGATCAAATTAAAAGATACCAAAAATACGGTGCGAGTAACTACTCGAATCAGTTAATACATGGTCACAAAAGGGTCTGAAATTTAACCACTAATTTTTTTTTACCCAAAAAAAATACACGTAAAGAAGCAATCAATATAATCAT